GAGTTAGCGTCTTCATTTTGAAACTTTGTCTGTTTTTGTGTGTGTTTAGTCAGCAAAATGCCTCAGATGGAGAAAAGTAATTCAGCTGGACAGATGTCAAAACACGATAACCACCGATGTGTGTTTTTGTTTGTTTCAGAATCGTGCTCATCTGTGCTAAGAGGTCTCTGTGTGCTGCCTTTTCTGTTCTTCCCTACGGAGAGAGCTTCTACCTCAGGTAATCCGTACAGACACATCTGCTTATGTACTCCCACCTTCTGCCTCTCATGATGAACTCAAGAAACAGGGTTCGACATAACCAATGGCCTGATGGCAGGGGGGAAAAAGTATTTGTGGAAAGTTGATTTAAACACTGCTGGCTTATTTAAAACTGTTATTTACTGAATTGGTCATCGCTGGCCTAAGTTCACCTGAAGCAAGCTGGCTGAAGGAAACCCTTACAAGTAAATAGTTCTTTTCTTCCTGCCAGTAGCTGTTTTCACATGAAAGGAAACGTTTGAGGTTGCTGAGATAAAGAGGCTGTTCTACTGGCAGGTGATGCTGGTGATGGCCTCAACAGCGTGGAGGTTTCACTCGCAAAAATAGATTTGTGCAGACCATCAAATGAATTTAGAAGCATGTGAATCAAAAGTTTTCAGAGATTTAGCTCAAGCAGCTTCTGTTTTTCTCAACAAAACGATCCGTAACCAAGTATGACCGGTAGCTACCCCTGTCGCTGTTCACTAGGCAGGAAGGAGGCAGCGCCGTAACTAAGAGAGTGAACCAAGTGAAAGGAAATGTTTGTCCTGCAGCTCTCATCGTTGTAAAAATCCGAGACCTTTATTAGATGGACTTTTAAACATGAGGAAACGTGAGCTTTTCAGCTGTTCCCATACACTGCTGGTTCATCCTGCACAGCAACAAAGAAAATGAATACACGAGTTTCTAGGAAATGTATAAGGGGCCCAGAAAATCACTATAGGGAACAATGCTTGGACACTTACGAGAAGTAGAGGTAGGGAAGTAGAAGTAGTTCAGGTCTCGTTTCTTCATTGTGAGACAAAGAAACATGAGAGGAGAAGAGGGGATGATGCAGAGCAGTATGAGGGAGAAGAGCTGTTTGTTCGGAGGGGGGTGATTTTTCCCATGTGCATCAGAGCCCTCTGACCTGACCTTAGGTCTGAGTGGCTGATGACTCAGACGAACACCACGATCACACGCAAACATCTCACAGTAACGACAAGAAGAAACAATAATGGAAACAACAATAATGCTGTTCTCCAATAGACAAGTCATCCTGATCTATTTTTCTCTTTGTGTTCACACAAACACACTTTTTTTTTTCAGCTGAAATTCTGAGAAGTCTTAGTGCATGTTGTGTCATGTCACACTCGCACCACGCGCACATGTAATGTACGCAGCTATTATTATAAACACATTCTCAGTTCCCTCTTTGTTTCTGTGTTGGACGCACACACACAAACACACACACACGCACATGCGCACACGCACATGCGCACACGCACACACCATATGCTATGAGGCAGAATGAGTAATTTTCACCCGGAAGTGAGCTCAAAACTCACATTTCTACAAGCAGCTGATGGTAAAAGCTGTGAAGCTCGGTGCATGGCGTCATGGTGATCGATGACCTTTTTGACCCTTCTAGCAAATGTCTGTGAACCAAAAGCTGACTAATGCTTATTTAGCAGTGCTTGCAGCAATAAGATATAAATAGTCAGAACATTTATAGATGGTAAATGGACTGGTTCTTATATAGCGCTTTTCTACTCTTCTGAGCACTCAAAGCGCTTTACACAACTTGCACATTCACCCATTCACACCAGTGCTTTATAGCTAACATTCACACACATTCATACTCCAATGGATGCATCGGAGAGCAATTTGGGGTTAGTATCTTGCCCAAGGATATTTGGCATGCAGA